TTTTAAAAAATTTCTGGGTAAAAAATGCAATTCGTATCTTTTTTAATAATGTGTTCAAAAAATGAGAAAGTAATTAAAATATTTATCATAATTAAAGTATAAAAATAAAATAAAATATTTACTATGATCAATATTTTTACAAGTTGTCACTCACAGATGCACCATCTTCGCCTAAGTGACATTAGTGTAACAAGGGACTTAGATGGAGTGGAATTGAGCTAACTATTGGTTTATAATCGAAATCATAATCTAATTTGATTATGATTATATTAGAAGAGAGTGGGAAGTTATATTAGACTTTCTCTTATCTAATTTGTTTGTTATGTAATATAGATAGACTAATATTAAGTCCGTGCAATGCTTGGCCAAGTGTAAAATTAAAATGTTTTTTTTATCTATTTTTATAGCTAAAATAAAATTAAGAGAGCCCCAAAAATAAGAAACGTTGTCTGGGAACCTATACCTTGTGTAGACACAATGAAGGTTGTGCCTTGCAATTTGGGGGACACCAATCACTAGAAGAACAAAAACAAAAAACAAAAACAAAAAAATGGCACCCGCATGGAATTAAGAATATAAAAAGAAAATGGAATAGAGTATAAGAGCAACTTCAATTGGAGTTGCCATCAAGGGTGGCATCCCCATAACCATTAAAATGGCACCCCAACTGTAAAAATTTGGACTCCAACAGAGGTGGTAAAATGACATTTAGGATTTTGGGGTGACATATTTGACAATTTTGGAGAGAAAATTGAGAGGTTGCAAAATAGTCGTTGGTGGCTACTGTTTCTCTCAACGGCTATATTTCACCCAAAAATTTTATAAAAATACAGAGAGAGGAAATGGGGAAGGAGACTTGCCTGAAATTGATTTGTGTATTGCTCTTAGAAAATAGCTTCCCTGAATCCTTGCTTGTGATATCGAAAACCCTAACTTCTCTGAACCCTTGTCGTTGGTGTACTGCTCCATAGCCCCTGTTACCGTTGTAAGTTGCAGAGAGGCGCAAGAGAAATGGAAGAAGATGTCTGATAAGGGGAAGGGGAAGAAGACGATCTAGTAAGGGAAAGGGGTAAGATGTTGTAATTTATAATTACATCTGCCCCCTGTTCTTGTTTTAATTTATAATTTGTAATATAATTTATAATTTATGGTAGATTTATTTGTTTTAATTAAGGGTAATTTTATTTATTTTTTAATTGATAATTTTATGCTCATTCTTTAAATTGATTATAATTTTTTTTGTTGGTAGATGGATTCGCAATTTTGACGGTTCTTTCATTGATTTGTTTATGAACGATACCAATTTATATGATGATGTTATGAAGATGAATCCCACAATATTGGCACCAGTACAAAATGAAGTCGTTCCAAGAGTGAGAAAATTGCAAAGGACAAAAAACTTCTCTCTAGAAGAAGATAAATTAATTGTGTCTGCGTGACTTAACACCAGTAAAGATGCAATTACTGGAAATGAACAATAAGGTGGTGCTTTCTGGTAAAAAATATTGCAATATTTAGAACTTCATGGAAGCAATCAAGAAGAGCGTTCACAATCTTCTATTAAAAGTCGTTGGACTGATATAAATGTCAAATGCGATAAATTTGTCGATTTTTATAGTCAAACTGAAAGATTGCGACAAAATGGACACACTGAGCAAAATAATGGAATGAGGAAGCTTTTAATTTAAACATTACTATGATTTGATATTTGAACTATTGACTGAATAATTTTATATGTTTTTCAAGTTGATGACACAAAAGAAATGTTCGTTAAGATTATTGGAAGACCATTTCAATACGAGCATTGTTAAAATATATTGAAAATAAAGTGAAAATGGACTAATAATCTCACCAGAAATAAGAGAGCAAAAACTTATTCAACTAGCAGTCCTACTGAATTAACTCATGTTGAATCTTGCTATTCAACTCTATATTTAGGGAATGACATTGAATCATCGTTCATTCCCAACCTCGATAGGTCATTGGACAGAAAGGTTTCGATGAAACAACTTAAAAATAAAGAGAAGCAAACCGGTGTTGAAGCATTACTAGATCATCACCGCTGGAATGAAAGAATGGAAGTGGAACGACAAAAAATTGTGCGACACGACAAATTTTTTGCTCAACAGGAGATAGCATTGGAGCAACATTGTAAACAATTAGAAATTGAAGAAAGACAGGTTCAAGAAATTGAAAGGCATAATAAAATGAAAATAATAAAAACTGACACTACTGACATGGACCCAATTTCTGCAACATATTGGAATAACCTGAAAATAGAGATTATGAAAAAGCAGGGGTTTTAATTTTTAGTCGTTATTTATTATGTTGCTATTATTTTTTAATTTATAGTCATTATTTATTATGTTGATATTATTTTTAATTTGTAGTCATTATTTATTATGTTGCTATTATTTTTTAATTTTTAGTCATTATTTATAATGTTGCTATTATTTATGAAAAACTATGTATTGAAAATACAACTTAAAATTGAAATTTGAATTAAAAGTACAACTTGAAATTGTCGTTGCCACAAGTGCTCGATAAGATCTAACTACAGTTGAGAATGAGTAACACTGTCCCTGATCTGACAATGAATTTGCATGAAGTCTTCCAATTTTGGTGTATATGCATGCGACACTTCTGTAGGCGGATTTGCATCACTTCCATCAAAGTATTGTTACCAATATCTCATTCATTCTCAATGATCATATTATGCATTATTATGCGTGCTTTTATAATATCTGCAAGTGTTTTTTTATCCCAAAAGCATGTTGGTCCACGCACGATTGCAAAACGGGCTTGAAGAACCCCAAATCCCGGCTCTACATCTCTTTCTTGCCGACTCTTATGCTTTAGCAAAATGTTTTTTCTTCAAACCTTGTGGACAAGGAATTATTTTTATAAATGTCGACCAATTTGGATAAAATACCATCAGTTAGATAATATTTCATTCTATACTCATGTCCATTAATTATATAGTTGACTGAAAGAGCATGACCATTTGCTAATAATGTAAAAATAGGGGACCTATCTAGAATATTTATGTCATTCAGCGTACTAGGAAACCTAAAAAATACATGTCATATCAAAAGATCTTGAAAAAGTCATAGCTTCTAAAATGATTGTTGGTTCATGACAATGACCAGTATACATACCTTGTCACGCGGTAGGACAATTTTTTCACTTCCAATGTATGCAATCAATACTCCCTAACATGCGGGGAAAATTATGTTATTCCCCCCATCTAGTAATCGAGCAATATCAATATTGTTTGGTGACCTCAGGTAATGGTCGTCAAACACTGCAATAACAACTTTCACAAAACCTTCTCAAACTCTATATGAGAGTGCTTTCTCCAATTCTAATGTATTCATCTACAGAATCTGTCGGTATTCTGTAAGTAAGAATTCTATAAGCAACAATTATCTTTTGAAGGGATGACAAATCGAGAACTCCAACGACATCTATTATTTGGATAAAGTATGGATCGTGTTATTCAATCTCAATTATAATTCGGAGAAAAAGAAGACGACTCATTCAAAACCTCCTTCAAAAAAAACCTTCATATACATAAGGGATAGCAAAATCGTCACGATAGAGTCTTTAATGACCTTCAACTCTATCACTATTAACTATTATGTGACTTGGAACGGAATCACGATGCCTTCTTATCCGTCTTTGACTAGACCCTTATAACCTTCTAGTTGCAGCATACAACATATCTAAGTCATCATTATCTTCTTCTTCTTCAATATTGAGGATCTCTCCTAAAATATTTAGGATAATGATTCATATAACTTGATGAATGAAAATATGAAAGAATAAATAGTCAAAGAGAACAAAGATATTGAATTTATAGAGAGAATGTAAGATAGATGGATGAAAACATGAGAAAAACGATCATATTTATAGATGAATTATACTTTTTTTAATTTTTATTTTGACGATTAAATTTTCAAATTTGAATTTCAACGGGTGAAATTTGAAATTTAAATTTAAGCGAACAAAATTTGAAATTTAAAATTTTATCCGTCGAAATTTGAAATTTTTACTATAAAAATGTATCTGTTAAATTGTGATCGTTATAAAAATTATACCCGTTAAAATATAACCGTTAAGTTTAATTATATTTTTTAATAAAAAATATTAAAATATTAAAATAACATCCCATTTTGACATCTATCATTGGAGCAGAAACATTATTCAAAGGTGCCAAAATACTATTTAAAGTTATAAGATGACATTTGACACCTCATTTTTGGCAACTCGCTTATAGTTGCTCTAATAATGCATGAGCGTCTGTTGTTGCAGTGCAAGAAAATCATACAAGAGAGATGAATGTAGGTAGACAGAAATATACATTGTCAAATGAGTATATATGTATACTTCATACAATTTCCGAGTTGTAATCAATACCCTAATCAAGTCATAATGCCACCCACCTACACCATTGATCTTCAATATTGACTTTTCATTCTCTTTACGACCTTTAACGTTAATCATTACTCTCACCAAGACTAAGAAATAAGTCGTAGAACTCGGAGCAGTGTAAAACAAATATTTTAATGGCAGAGCATTCACCCTTTTTTTTTTTTATTCACACTTAATCATTTACGGGGTAAGTGCGTTATTTTCTCAGTATTATATTTTAAAATTGTTATTTTTTTTATAGAAGTATTATTTAAAAAATAATTTAAGTTACTTCTTTATAAAAATAATTATAATGTTGAAATTAAATTTTAAAGTAGAGTATTAAAGGAGTAAAGTTTGAATTATAGTAGGACAAAAGATTCGGATAAGGGGGTGGGTGCTAAGTTGCTGTCTCTTTCAGGAAAGAATAGGCGCGGCATGACGCGTCTCTTTTCTTCTACCTTACACTTACAACACACGAAGTAGCTTTTCTTCTACCTCTCTCTCTCTCTCTCTCTCTCTCTCTCTATAACAGATAGGCCGACCCATCGGATCACAGTTCGGATCACAGTTTATCACATTAGCTATGTCTTTCAGAGGGGTAATGTCTGATTTGATCAGTTCTGCTTGGATCCCAATTGGTTGATCTGCATGAGTAAATTCTTATTTTTTTGCCCTCATTTGAGATTTTTAAGTGGAATTATGCTTTGTTTGACTGAGTATTGGTAACAATTTGATTTCAACAATTTGAAGGTCTGGGACTTTGAATATGATTCTAGATGGTTAATGGGTGTGATAAATATTGATTGTTTGAGTGGTGAATTTTCTGTAGATCTTCATTGCTGGTTTGTGAATTGACACTGTTTCGTTTTTTAAGTGTGATTTTTTTGTTGTTAATATTATTGGTTTCAGTTTGTGTTTTTAGTGGCAATCCAATTTTAATTTAGCCCTACTTGATGTTTTATTTGTTTGTAAGCCAGGATCATCTTGATGTTCTGACTTTAATTGCAAGCTTTCGGTTTGGTTTTAAGTCTTGTGAGTATATGTCTTGTTTTTACTATAGAGGAGGGACGGAACCCGGATTATATCTTGAAGGGACCAAATAACAATGTAGTTAAGAATTTTATTCTACGGGATAAGATTTTATCTATACGAAACCTAGCAAAAATTAACTTTTATACAACACCAGAGTAAAGTTTAGTTTGGGTCATAAGATGCAGAAATTAGTTCTTACCATCATAAAAATTTGTTTATGATAATGTCACTATCCTTTTATTCTCATTTGATGCAACGACTTTGAATAAATTGTCCTGAAAAATAATAGTTTCACGTGATACCATTGTAAAACTGTAAAAGTAAGGCAGATTTTGCAAAATATTCACAATTTTATTTTGTCATCAAATTAGTCCAATCAAATATTTTCAACGGTAAGAACATCATTCATCCAATTAATTCATCCACATATGGCTATTTAATAACAAATCATTGGTCTTTTTGGATTTAGTAAGTCAATTGCCGATATATAATGTTTTTTGGGACTTGAGGAGAAACATAGGATTTTCCAAAACTTATGGAATGTTATAGGAATTTTTCAAAATGGGAGGAGGGCCATGGGCCCCATCTTGGTTCCGTCAATGACTACACAGTCTACACTAGGATGAAGCTTGTAGTGCTAAACTTGGAACTTTTCCAATTTTCTTTGATTGAGATAGTTCTAGTTCTTTGGCATTGGTGGATTTACTATTACAACTTCATCCATTTGCTCTTTTGAAAATTCTCTTGGAATTGTTTCGATAATGTGAAATGAACAAAGATCATTATGTCCATTTTGTGTCAGTTGGAAGGATTGAACACACCCATTTCATTTTTCAATTGAATACTTTTGAAGGTTTTCTTGTGTAGCTTTATACTTTTATTTTTCTCCATGTGGGTTTCAGAAAGGTTTGGTGGAAAGCAAGAAATTTGAACTTAGGCCTTCCTTTTTCATGCATTCTTCCATTTTTCAAAATTTTGTAGAATATTGGAAAGTTTGTTACAAATTTCAAGTATTTAGTTTTGTACTGCTCTTCATTTTTTTCCCTAAGGATGATGCAGTGTATTGGTGAACTTTTGCATTGTTCTTTTACTGTGAATTTTTTTTATACAGTCGGAGCGCAACAAAATATGTTATGTTTTTTTGCTTTGTAATCAGTATCTGCCCTTGCAAACCATTTGCTTTGAAAATCTTTCTAGAAGACAGAGGTATGATTATATCTACATTGGAAAATTGGTTTCAGTTGCAGGCAAATGCATCATCAGGCATGGGTGTTGCTGATCACAGCAAAAGCACATATATGGAACTGCAGAGAAAGAAGGTGCACCGTTATATAATTTTTAAGATTGATGAGAATAAAAAAGAGGTGGTCGTTGAAAAGACCGGAGGTCCAGCTGAGAGCTATGAGGACTTTACTGCATCTCTGCCTGAAAATGATTGCCGATATGCTGTCTATGACTTCGATTTTGTAACTTCTGAGAATTGCCAAAAGAGCAAGGTCTTCTTCATTGCATGGTTAGTTTTTGTTTCGCCTATTATATATCACATGGTTTCATCGTCAATACATTGTTAGTGTGCTTGTTGCATGTGGTGTAGGTTCTTTATTTATGTGAATTACTTTTATAGGATTTCATTGCAAGATCTCTTCTTTGATATTGTTACTAAGCTTGCCTTCCCACTCTCTGTTTTTGATGCGAAACAACCCAAAGCTTAGTCCACCTTATCCTAAACATCCCGAACTTGGCATTGATCGAGTATGGTAATGTAACTCAATTGCATCCACATTGGATTGTTTTCTAAATAAATTGAATTTTATGACAGTTTTTGCTTTGGTTCAAAAAGCTTTATGAATGTAATAAATAATTAATGGTGCCTGATCTGGCAATTGTGGTCTACCAACTTGAATCACCTCCATTTATTAAATAAAAGGCATAGTTTCAAAGTATGAAATTCAAACCTCGTTGTACATTTTCAGTTATTTGGGTTATTTAGGTATACCTGTAGTTGCTAATTGCTCACCATGTCTTCCTACTGCTTAAAAAATAGGCTCTTTTTTTGTAATTTGTTCTATTGGAGACTATAAAATGAGATGGCAGATTTTTTAGGTTGTTTTTGTCATAATTATTTTAAAAGTTTGTTTGGAAAACCTCAATGCACTCAATAATTATTGGATCCTTTAACTGAATTCAGACATAACTCAAATTCCGGAGTAGAGATAGGTTAAATTCCTTGCGTGTGTTGTTATTTTTTTTTCTTCTTTGAGTAGTAGTAGTTTTGAATATGTATATTAGAATAATAATGATGTGCCTTCTTTTGTTTGGGTGATCGGACATGGTAGTAAGTAAGCAAGTAAACTTTACGAGTGTGTGGGAAATACCACACTTCTTTGTTGTAAAGCATCAGTTAGTTATTTCGAGAAGTGCCATGGGAGCTCTCTTTTTGTTCACCCATTTATTCTCTATTTCTGTAAAAAAAAATTGGAGGACTGCTGTACTTGACTGTAGGAAAGTCTTTGCTGGCTGGTTTAGTGATATCACAAAAAGCACAAGTGCTAGGTTTTGGTAGTAGACGGTTTGGCCTGCTTTGCCTTATCATTATCAAAAGAATCAATATAATTATTTTTTGAATCTTGAGTATAATGTTCCTCCCATATTTTTCGGCCAAATTTACTAAAACACCGCTTGAATTACACCTTATAAAACTACGCATTTCATTCTCAACCGTTGATCAACTGGAATGTTGTTGGATTTTGTTTGACGAGAAGGATATGCAGCCTTCATATTAATTTAAAATTTGCCTCTTCATATCTAACAGGTTACATTGTTGTCATCTCTATTAAATTGTTCTACTTACTGGCGTGATATCAACGTACCTTTCAGGTCCCCTTCTGTGTCCCGGATCCGTGCCAAGATGCTATATGCTACATCCAAGGAAAGGTTCAGAAGGGAGCTGGCAGGCATCCATTATGAGATTCAGGCCACTGACCCAACTGAGATGGATCTTGAAGTGATCAGAGACCGTGCTAACTAAACTGTTCTGTTTTGCAAAGGGTTCTGCCTCATGCAAACTTGCTGTGGTCTCATTGCAAGCAAAAGGAATGCATCTTTGCTTTAATTTCTGTTTTATGTCGTACTTATTTCTGACACAATACATATCTTAACCGATAAATAATGTGGCATTTGGGAAGGCTGATTAAAAGAAGCCCTTGTCTAAAATCATCCGTGCTTTGGGGACAACAGGGATTCCTATTGTCGTGATACTTCCCAGATGAAAATGGCAAGATAATGGATTTGTGTCATCTTACTATTTGAAGTATTCTATGATGTGGGTATTGGAGGAGCAATTTTATTGTTTGATGCACTAGTTGGTTTCCTGAAGGATGTCCTAAGCCCCCACTAATCTGTACTATGAAAGTAGTGAAGCTGAACCCTACATCTCTTCTGCCCCCCCCCCCAAAAAAAAAAAAAAAACCCTACATCTCTAACTGGTACAATAATAATCAGCCTGCTGCAAATTTTGTTTCCTGTTATGGTCTGCTGGAGTATATAACCTGGCAGCCACTCTTTTTTTGATGTACAACGATCGGGAGAAGGGATTCTCAAACCTAAGCTGTGCTGTTATTGATTGTATTTTGTGACTGGATAGAAGTGTAGTTGTGTCATCCATGCTTACACTTTTGAATTGTGAATTTGCTTTATGAGTTTAATGGGCTCTCTCTTGAAGATGCATTTAGATTTTGACCACACCAGGTGTTGAGAGATTTTACCTTGGTCTGTGGAGTCTGAATTGTGTGGGTCAAATTTCTATCGGTGAAATATGATGATATGAATATGAATATGAATTTGAATTTGAATTTGAATTCGGATTTGAGTTATTGTTAGATTAATAGGATTTAGGTTCTTTTAAATCTGTCCATTGGTGGGCCTACGTACCTACCAGAAAGTAAAAACAAAATTTGAAATTGGCCAGTAGTTTATGTTTCTGGTTGAAGCTAATTGTCATGCCATTGGTGTTATAGGGACTAATTTTGGTTTTGATTTTATCCCATTTTTACTGTCTCAGAAAAGTGACGACGGTGTTAATCGTGCTGAGGTTGAGTATGTTTGGATTGGACTTGGTTGAGGACTAGTTTAGCTTGAGCTTGGCTCGATAGAAGCTTGTGAATATGTGAGCTCCATTGAACTCAATTTTTGTGCGAGAGTTCAAAACAGAAACTTCATAATTAGGAATAAATTTAAGTATTGTTCATCTTTCAAATACAATTATAAAATTTAACTTATTCTGTAATTTGAACGAGTCTGAACGAACTAAAATTGGATGAATATAAAGAAGTATTTTTCGGTCAATCTTGCAGGCATCTTTTCAACAAGTTATGTGCATAACTAAGGACATGGTATGGATAGAGACTTGAAACAAAAGTTCATTGATGCTAATGCAAAGCTTCATTTTCAGTTATTTTCAGAAGACTATGAAACCAGGATACCACCTTTCTCCAAGTTGATTGCTGGTGATTGTTTTGTTTGGGACCTCCGTCGGAGTTCAGTTGGTGGTTGTTGGTTGGTTACCAACAAGACAAATGCTGGTCGATGTAATCGTCGCAATTATTATGTATATTACAATCATCTTTTCAATGGACACATGCCCGTGAATTTGGGATGTACACAATCATCACGTATGCCAAATTACATGAGACATTTTCGTGAGACTTGAACTCAATATTTCGAGATATTGATTGCTAAAATTTTAGGGTGAATTTCATTTTGCATTCTAAAAGATTTTAAATTTATTATTTTGTACTTTCAAAGATTAATTTTTTCATATTGTACTCTCAATATATTAAAAGTGTTGTAACATGACATTTTTTTGTTAGTTTTTCGTTTAGTATCACTAGATTGGTTTTTAATAGAAAAAATAATGGAAGCTAACAAAAGGATCATATTATAACACTTTTAATACATTGAAAATATAATATAAAAAATTTAATTTTTGAAGATACAAAATAAAAATTTTAAAATCTTTTATTGTGCCAAGTACGAAAAGACCAAAATTTTATAGTCCGCCCAATGGGACAGGAATCAGTGAATTTAAATAAATTACAATTGGGGACATACATAATAGCTTTGATTTGGTCTCTAAGCTTGCAATAATCATGAATGACATCTCCAATAGGACAATTCCCCAACACTATGTACAAGAAGCAATCATACAGACCTTCCATTAACATGTTTCATTAGTTACATACTAGTGTGTGGTGTTTTTAGTATAATCCGGTATCATTATGCAGCAAGGTTAAAATTGGTAGATAATATTAGGATTAAAGTCCTATTTAAATGGTTAAAATCTTTCTTAATATAGTAGGATGTTCAAGGTTCGATTTCCCATCCCGACTCCTCTATCTCTTCTATATGGTGTAAAAATTTATTGCCTACTAAAAAAAAGAAAGTAGATAATATATATTTAATAAAGTAACTTACAATTCAAATCTCAAAAGATAAACAAAATGACTTTTGTTATTTGCGATTGAGCTTACCTTAAATTTTATTTTAAAGTTTATCTAATGGCCAATAGGAAAAATAGGCTCTTTAAAAAAAACAATGTTTGAAACCGCCCCACCACCATCGTCGTCACCGCCGCCACTACCACCACCACCACTGTCGCCGCCACCATCATAATCGCCGTTGCCGTCACCATCACCACCCATCGTCACTATCACCATCATCGTCGTCGCCGCTACAACCACCACCACCATTGCTGCCGCCCCCATCGCTGTGGCCATCCCCACTGCCGCCGCCACGCCCACCATAGTCGCCGCCGTTGTCACCACACCACCGTTGTCGCCGCCACCACCACGGTCATTGCCACAACTATCACCGTCTCCTACCACCACTATTATCACCCCACTACCTCTCATCCCCACTACAACCTAATGTTTAAATTCTTCTTCTATATTTGTGATTTGATTTTGAACATAAATATAAATATGTTTATTGTTTATCATTTTTTATTACTCTGTGTCTTCAGGCACAGACAATAACTAGTTACACTATATAGGGCTCGTTTAGTTACTGTATTAAAAATAGATGTATTAGATAGAGTAATCCAGTCTAATACAATACGTAAGGACAAAAGACAAGATTAAATAGGGTATTAGAATAATACGTAATTTTACTTAGTATTTGACAATATACAACATAAACGTTGGATAGTAGTTATGTAGTCCAATTAGTTGTTTGATTAGAAAATTATTTCATCGTATCAATGTTGAATTAACAAAAATTCTCTCGATCAGTGTTTGTTACATTGATGACATATTGATTTTATCTGTTAGAGAGTTATAATAGTAAATGTGTAGAATAATACGTTTAAGTTATATTATAATACAACCTCTTTTGGTGGTATTAAAATACTTTCATAATAAATGTCTATAATATAAAAAATATACAATATATATACGATCAGTTTCCATTTTTAAAATTAATATGATATTAAATTTAATTATCAAATAATAAAATATTAGGTCTAATTATATAATTAAATTAAAATAGTTCAATCTAAAATTTAATTCTCTCATGTGACGTCTATCAATCGAGCTCTATTAATTTTGCTCAGAACCGTACATCCAACCCATCAATGGGAGTATTAAGGGGAAGCACATCATCTATCATAAGGACCACGTGTACAGAAAATCACGCCGAAATGGCAAAGACTTTGGTCAAAATTCCAAAATTTCCTCAACAAACGGTATATAGTTCCAAATCTAAACTTCCTTCATCCTCGAGATCCTTATGTGGTAATACCACTGGCCACCTCTAAACTTTATATAATCTACCTGAACTCCCCTGAATTCTTATCATTCATCCCTATTATTTTGTTAGTAAGTATTTTTTTTTCAAAAACAGCGCTAAACTAACTAAAAAATGAGACAAAACACACGGAATAAATGATATGTTTGGTAACAACGAGAAAAAAAAAATTTCAATTGTACAAAAATAAGACTATTAATACTATTATAATTATATTTTATCATTTAATATCTATTTTTAATATTTTTTTTTTGTTTGTCTAACATTACTCATCTTTCAATATTCTTCAAAAGTAAAAACACTTACTCTATTATAATGAACAAGACTTGAAATTAATATTAGATCATTATGTGTCTCATTTTATCATGTGACAACATTGAGAGAATTAGGATAATATCAAATTATTTTGGAATTTAGAAAAATTATCACAAGTATAGGGGAGGTCAGTGATATTTATCTTCTCCCAAATCCACCTGATAACCGGACTATCGTGTACGGAAAGGAAGTTCAACATTGGAATCGTTTAATAAATCTCTAGAATCCGAATCTGTTCCCCACTACATGTAATCTAATTAAATCCTCCACAGCCGTTGGATTAACCACTTGCTCGAATTTCATTGGTTGATCAAATATACCGAATATTCCTTTAAAGCATTCCAAAACCCATATTCTATATAGCCAGAGAGAGAGAGAAAGAGAGAGCGACCCTGAGAGAGAGAGAGAGAGAGAGAGAGAGAGTAATGAGCGAGGCATTGAGGAGGGACTACAGCGTGTGTGAAGAGATCGGGAGAGGACGATACGGCGTCGTTTTCCGCTGCTTCTCCGCCGTCTCCGGAAAGTCATTCGCCGTAAAGACCATCGATAAGCGTTTGATCGCCGACGACTCAGTGGACAGGCAATGCCTTTACAATGAAGCCAAAGTCATGCATATTCTCTCTCCTAACCCTCATATTCTCCAAATCTTCGATGTCTATGAGGACGAATCTCATCTTCACATTGTTCTCGAGCACTGTAACACTTCCGATCTGTTTCATCGGCTAGCTAACCGGACAGTTTTCTCTGAACCGGAAGCTCTCTCTGTGATGGTATGTATAGTTATTTAGTTCTACAAACGCTCTCATCCTTAAGGTTGCATTTGGTTTCTTCATCAGAAAACCGTTCCGTAAAACAATTTTCACCAGGAAATTTCGGAAAATACGTTTTGGTGTTCACTGGAAATCAAACCAAATATGGTAACAGGGACCGGAAAGTAGTTTTTGGAGTTGGAAACAATGAAAATCTGGTTGGAAAATCATATAGAAAGCAAAGAAACCTCTGAGTTTCTGCTGTTTCAGTAAGTATGTTTCAGAAATCTTGCTAAAGAACCTGTTAATGATTCAGCAATTGTTGAAGTTTTGGGGGGCAAATGTTTGTTACTGATTTCTAGGAAAATAGAAGTTTGGGGAAGATCGCCGGATTATTCAAACTTTTTGGGGTATGATCGCCCCTATCCGTCCTCCTACTACATTGTTGTTGACAAACTGTCCTTGATTTCTCCGTTTCAGCAATTTGGTTTGGTCAATCATTTCCCTTGTTGGAAATTTTTTGTAATTTTTTTGGTTATATTTTTGCAGAAGCTAGGTCAGTAGTGAATTCCTTGTAGAATCGTCGATTAACGAGTTCATTGCGCAATCAACTTGTTTAGGTACCACTGATGGAGGCCATTGCACACTGTCACCGCCGTGGCGTCGCTCACCGGGACATCAAACCAGACAACATCCTCTTCAACAACCGGAACCAACTAAAACTCGCCGATTTCGGCTCTGCCGAGTGCTTCAGGGACGGAGAACTAATGACCGGAATCGTCGGAACACCATATTACGTTGCGCCGGAGGTGGTGGCGGGAAGAGATTACAATGAGAAGGTGGATGTGTGGAGTGCCGGGGTGGTTTTGTACATAATGCTGGCCGGATTTCCCCCTTTTTACGGCGATTCCGCCACGGAGATCTTCGAGACGGTTTCGCGAGCGAATCTTAGGTTTCCGGCTAGTGTTTTCCAGTCGGTGTCGCCGGCCACTAAAGATTTGTTGAGAAGGATGCTCTGTAAAGATGTTTCCAGAAGATTCACCGCCGACACAGTTCTGAGTATGTAATGATTTTAATAATTCTCTCTTTCTCAGATAAAAATTCATTAATTTTTGTGATTTGGTGGGTGGTGCGTCGTCGGTATAGAATTGGATTTGTTTTTGGAAAATTACTTTATTGTCCTTTGTTCAAGCCCCTTTAACTTTAATAATAGCTCTATTTTCTAGTGGGTATATATTATAGTAAGCTCTTATTTTTAAAGAAATCTTAGTAGTACTATACTATTGGATTGTAGTAGTAGTACTCTAGTTATCAATGATAATGGGTGGGTAGTCTATCGTAGAGGAGTTGTATTTGTTTAACTAATTTGTTCAATAAATTCAATCCATATTAAATTCATGTTCATTATATAGGGTTAGACACAGGTGCCACAAAAAAAAGTCAGTATCATATTGAAAAATAAAGGTATGAGACTGTAATTTGACCCAATTATAATAGTCGGATGTATACATTGTTGAGTTTGCATCGTGTCTAATCGTATCGAGTTTGATTAGTGTTCTGGATAACCAATTTGCTTCAATCACTGACTTACAGTTTACAGTTCTAGGCTTCTAACCATGTTAACTGCTCAAAAGCTTTGGCATTTCTTCATTAGTCCTTGAAAATTTCCTTCTGCTTGGTAGTTTTAAAAGAGAACTGATTAGGTTTTGGTCTTATTATTTGGTGGTGGTGTGCAGGGCATCCATGGATGACTGGAGGTGGAGGAGACCCAAAATAAGTGGCTGTTCTAGCCTGAAAAAAATCTAATCTAAATGTAAAAAGGCATGTCTATACTGTATAGGCATTTATATGCAGATCTTCCAAGTTCCAAGTAGTTCTACCTTGTGCAGGGGATGGTTTTCTAGATTTTTTTTTTTTGGTAAGCCTAGTTTAGTTTTTTCCTAGCTTTCGCTCAGTGTAAAGAACAAGGAAATTTGAATCTATTGGGAGTTTGAGTTTTCTTTGTGTTAATTTTTGTTTTTGGATGTAATGGATTTGCTTAGAGTTGGTTTTGATGATGTACAAAAATTGTCTTGTGCAAGATCAACTGTCAAGGATATTAACGGGTGTGATTAATAAGCAATTAATGAGTAATCAATATCAATCAATGGATAAAAATAGTAAAAAAGCAATCAACACAGAGATTTATAGTGGTTCGGTTTGGGTGATTTACGTTTACTCTCGAGAACGGCGACGGCTGCCTGAGGTGTTTTATTAATGAATAGTGTCACCGGGTGAGTAGTTCTGGTGTATTATAGTGCTTTAGAGAGAGAGAGAGAGAGAGAGAGAGCAGTGTATGTAGGAAGGTGTAGTGTATGTAGGGATCTCAAGTTTATGAGGGCGTGCCCTCTATATGGGGCGGGTTTACATTATATAGGTGTGATGAGGCGTGACGTGAGGAGGAAGACTTCCTCTGTTTTAGTAAGTATAGCTATGGTAGGAGATCTCCGTGTCAATCCCGGTATTTTCTCTCTCGTGCTCTTTTTTTTTGGAGGAGGGTCTTGAACTGAACTGAGCTCGTACTTGACTTTGAGCTTGGACCTAGAGTGATTCTAGACTTGCATTGGAACAACGAAGCAAAGAGGAGTAGAGAGGAGTAGAGAGAAACAGGCGCCCAAGGGTCCCATGGGCAGCGCCCTGGCCTCTTCGCTCTTCTATTCTGAGCATTGGGTGCTCTGGATCTCCTTTGATGGGTTAACCCATCTGATTTGGGCTTTCCTCTTGGGTTTTCTTGGTTTATTTGAATTGAGCCTTGCCCGGTAAAATTTGGGCTCATTATTTGCCCCCATGCCCCGAGTCTCTGATTTTTTCGCGAGACAAGGGTCGTGGGCATGTGTTTCGTGTTCATTGAGTCGGGATTTTCCTTGCTCTTCATGACATCCTTTCGTCTTTGGGGACTTGTTCTCAGGGACTCGCTGAACTTCCCGATATCGAAATTGTTTTTTTTTTTTACTACTTCTCTATAAATAGAGATCACTGTTCCACCTTCTTCATCCTTTCCTCACTTCTCATTTCTAGGGCTCCTCCCAAAAATTGTCTCTAATCTTCTAGAAGCTATTTGAGCAAGTTTCCTCAAGAAGCTATTCATTAAGCTTCTCCAAGAAGCTTAGGTGAAACTTTCCCAAGAAGCCTCATTCTCTATTTAAGGCCACCAAGAACTACTGTTCATTCATTCTCTCTTGTTTCTATCTCCTCTTCCATTTCTCTCTTTGAACAACATGAAGACAAGGAGCCCGAAGGGTGGAGAAGACTTCAACAAGGAAGGTAGCGCCCACGGAGAGGCTAGCCTGGGCGGCGCCCATGGGGCCGTTCCAAGCAGCGATTTAGGGAGAACGATGCAGGCACCCATCCAGGCCCAGGCGGGTGGCGCCTAAGCTTCGGGTGGAGTCCTTCGTAGTGCAGGCAGTGGAGTCGGAATGCTTGAGTAAAGCAAGCGAAGAGCAAGGGCCATGCGCGGCACCAGGGGCTTGGGCGACACCCTTTTGGGCTTCGGACGCTTGGGTCTCCCTCCTGGCGCTGGTTTTGGTATGGCCTCGACAACTGGTGAGCGACCTTTCAGAACTATTAGTGCGAGATTTGGTACGAGCAAAGAGGTTTCAATTAATCCTTTTAGTGCATCGAGAGCGACCTCAGACACAGGTGGGCAGCGGAGTGAATCTTCAAAGGAGACAGAGGGTGCTCGTCATGGGCTGGGCGGCTCTACAGGCTCCTCAGGCGACGCCCATGGTGCGCTGGGCGTCGCCCCAAGCTCTACAGTAGACACCCCAAGCGTAGTGCAGTCCCCCATTCGCGAGTTCAAAAAGCGATCGATCACCGATCTGCATGGGACTAGCTCTCAAGGTATGTTGCAATATTCTTTTTACTCTTTTGTTGTCATAATTATTTTCCTGAACTACGATCTGAACCGGCTTTTGCGGATATTCATCCAGGCGAGAGGGAGACTTCTCGGGACTTCGACGGAGGTCCAAATGATGGAGGAAGCGATGGTTCCAAGGTAGCTTCTATACTTAGCTTGCTTGACCATGATGAAGATATTGTCGAAATAGTTTCATCATATCGTATTCCACCTTGCGTGACTTACCGTTGCGCTGAGGCCGATGAGTCTGCTTGTTGTGATTCTTTGGGTGAGATTGTCGTTTACGAGGGCATGCTGGAGGCAAGCCTTCGGTTCCCTATCCCCGGACCTATATGTCAAGTTCTCGGGCACTTGTCTCTGGTTCTAGGGAGACTGGCTTCTAATGGTTGGAGGGTGTTCTTTGCCTTGTGGCGGTTGGTGGATGATGCTACTATCCCTCCACCGTTTGAGGAGTTTCTGGCTATATATACACTGACGAAAAATCCTACTCAGGGGGTCCAATGATCACATTATAAGTAGAGGGACAGTCGAGTACGAGAAAATTTATCACGATAGTAGAGCTCCTTGGTGTAGTTCCTACTGTGACAGGTAGGGTGATGGATCCCAAGGGCTAGACTCTCTCTCCCGAGAAACCAACCAAGGGACTCTTGGCCTGCTGTAGTCTCTCTCTGCCGAGGTGAGGTTGTCATAGGTTGTGGCAAAGAGGATGTCGGCTGAGCTGCCGTTGTCGACTAGGATCCTCCTCACTTGGTAGTTGGCCACTATTAAGGTCAAAACTAAGGGGTCATAATGAGGGACCTAGACCCCCTATAAGGTCTCTGTTTGAGAAAGTAATGACCTCCTCTTCCCCATATCGTGGGGTCTTCATTGGGCGATAGTCATGAGAATCCGCCTGTCTGGCTCTACGGGTGTGTGCCTTCCTGGCGGAGTTAGAGTCACCTCCTCCTCCTAACCCTTCGACGATGGTATGAATCTTACCAAGGGGCTGTTGGCATTCTCGTTCTTTGTGCGGTGGAGTTGGTCCTCGACCAACCATGTACTGTCTGAGGTGACCCCGCTGGATAAGTTTCTCAATCTGCTTCTTCAATTGAAAACAGTCGTCTGTGTCATGTCCATAGTCACGGTGGAAGCGACAATTCTTACTGGGATTTCTGCGTTTGGGGTTAGACCTCATCTTCCCGGGTCAACGGATGGCGGGGTCATCCTGTAGCTGGAGTAGGATGTGCTCCACTAAGGCATTGAGTAAAGTGAATGATTGTTGGTCCCTTGGGGGGCAGTGGTCCGAGGCGGTCTTTTACAGAGACTCTCTCGACTTTCTTCTTCTTGTTCTCAGTCTCCCTTTTGTCTTCTTGGCTGGCTTTCCTTTTTTCCCCTCCTCGAGAGGACTCATCTCGATAGGCCTTAGTGACGTCCTCAGCATTCATATACTTCTGTGCCCTAGACAGCAGTTCGGGCATGCTGGAGGGTGGCTTCTTGAGGACTGAGAACATGAAGCTGGATGTGCGAAGATCGGCAATAAAGGCAGCCAGAACCACCTTATCATTTGACTCATCAATTTGGAGCACCTCCTCATTGAAGCGGGCAAGGTAGTCACGAAGGCTTGCTTCCCTATCCTGCTTGATGATGAGCAGATGGGTCATTGGTTTATAATGATGACGTCCCTCAATGAAGTGAGAGACGAATGACCTACTTAGTCCTGCAAAGGAGCGAATGGAGGAGGGCCTAAGCTTGGAGAACCACTGGAGGGCATACCCTTTTAAGGTGGTAGGGAAGACCCTACATATGATATTCTCAGGCACATTGTGGAGTTATATGAGGGACTTGTAGGTATCCAGATGGTCGAGGGGGTGTTTGGTGCCGTTAAAGATCTCGATGGTGGGCATCTTGAACTTCGAAGGCAGCGGGTAATTAACAATGTCAGTTCAAAAGGAGTATCAGTGCGCCTTACCAGATAGTCCACGGTTTCAGGCGCTTGTGCCTTGATGACATTGAGGGCATTACCAAGCTGGTCCTGGACTTTCCTAATCTTCTCGTCCCACTGGTTGGGGACATCTTCGATCGGGTGATGGTATTGGCTCTCGTGGTCTCCGTATTGACTTTCTCCTTCATCCTATTGCGCAGGCACGGGCGAAAGGGGAACATGTGTGCTCCTTGCGCATTGAGGAAGGATTGCTTGACGAGGGGCTCCCTAACGTGGCCCTAGAACATTCTGGCGAGGGACCTGGCGCCCAGAAGGGACAGGTAGCGGCTCCTATCCTATTGGAGGGAGTGGGACTCCTCCTTCAGGGTGATGGGTGACGCCCACTTGGTTGAGCATTAACTGGATCATCTGCTGGTTTTGTTTCACCAACAGCTGCATAGTTTGTAGAAGCTGCTGCTGTTGTCCAATGGCGGGAGTCACCATGGCAGAGGGTTCTGAAGGTGCAAGGGGAAGTGGAGCCTCCTCCCGATGCACAGGGTTGTTGTCTCCCAGTTGATGAGACCTTGATCTGGTCGTGATTGCCATGGATTATAAGAAGGGTTGAGAGGTGGTAGAAACTTTGTCGTTTTCCACAGATGACGCAAAATTGATGATGCACAAAAATTGTCTTGTGCAAGATCAACAGTCAAGGATATTAACAGGTGTGATTAATGAGCAATCAACAGTAATCAATGGATAAAAACAGTAAATAAATAATCAATACAGAGATTTATAATGGTTCGGTTCGGGTGACCTACGTTCACTCTCGAGAATGGCGACGATTGTCTGGGACGTTTTATTAATGAACCGTGTCACCGGGAGAGTAGCTCTGGTATATTACAGTGCTTTGCAGAGGGAGAGAGAGCAATGTGTGTAGGAAGGTGTAGTGTGTGTAGGGATCTCAAAGTTATGAGAGCGTGCCCTCTATATAGGGAGGACTTACATTATATAGCTGTGATGAGGCGATGACGTGAGGAAGAAGACTTTCTCTGTTTTAGTAAGTACAGCTATGGTAGGAGATCTTCGTGCCTATCCTGGTGTTTTCTCCCTCGTGCTCCTATTTCTCTGGTGGAGGGTCTTGAACTGGATTGAGCTCGTACTTGACTTTGAGCTTGGATCTGGAGTGATCCTGGACTTGCATTGGAACAACGAAGCAAAGAGGAGCAGACGCCCAAGGGGCCTGCCTAAGCGGCACCCAAGGGTCCCATGGGCAACGCCCTAGCCTTTTCGTTCTTCTGTTCTGGGCATTGGGTGCTATGGATCTCCTTTGATGCGTTAACCCATCTGATTGGGCTTTCCTCTTGGGCTTTCTTGGTTTATTTGAATTGAGCCTAGCCCGGTAAAATTCGAGCGCATTAGGCTTAAAATCTCAATTTTGTTTTTTAGTTTTGGAGGAAAAAAAACTTGATTTATTTGGATCTGCGCTTATTGGACGAATTTTTCATCAATTTTTTGAACAAAAATTTCATTTATCAATACCAAAGAAAAGTTGAAAAATAAGGCTTATCTAAAGGCTTTCAAGAAAAAACCTTTTTTTTTGGTAACACTTTAATGGTTCTAATTTTTTTTTAAGCCTGATTTTTTTTATTTTACTTTTCAAATTTCTCTTTTGCACTTAAAAAAGTGAGCTTCAAATGGACCCAATATTAGGGGTGCAACTTGAGCGGGTTAGACAATTAACCCTAGCCCAACCCTAAGTATATAATATTCAACCCTAACTCTAACCCTACCTCGGGTTGAAAAACTCAACCCGAGCACTGCCCAAGTTTAATTCGGGCGGGCTCGGGTTGAATTCAGGTTGATGATTTCGGGTTACTGTACGGGTTTAATTCGGGTAGAGCCCAAAATAGCCTTGTTGTTCTAAACCTAATACATATATTACATAATATTCTCCTAAATTAACAACCAATAATTTCAATCAAGTTTTTAACGAGAGAGGCAAAGAGAACGAAAGAGACAGAGAACGATAGAACAAAAATGAAAAATCAATGCTAATACTTTATATATATATATAATTTTTTTTTAATTTGTCGGGTTCGGATTGAACTCTGGTTCACGAAACCTTAACCCGAACCCAACTCAAATTGAATTCGGGTTGAAATTTTTTGACCCAAGCCCAACCCAAGTATTAAAAACCCTTGTCCAAGCCCTAATTTTTTTGGGTTGAGCTCAGGTTGAAATCGGGTTGCCCAACCCAAATTGCACCCTTACCCAATATGAGAGAACCTGAGACTTGGGTACTAAAAAGATAGCGTTAATTATATCTTCTTGTCTTACATTTATGCCATGACTTTTCTTTAATTTGAACACATTGTATTATCAATTTTTTTAAATTCATAAAACTTTACACAATTATTAGAAATTTAGCCTTGAATAGCCCGTCGATGCTGATTATTTTTGTTCCAATTTAAATTTTTTTGCGAAATATGACGAATTTAAATTTGTTAAAAATGCAATGTGTTCAAATCAATTATCAAGGCATAAAGTGGAATGAGGACAATATATTATGTGCCAAAGTGAAATTAACCATATAAGATGTGTATTTGAAGTTTTCTTGAAATATAATAGTTATCCTTTTACCATATCTTTTGAAATGAGGTGAGCTCGAGTAACAATTTATTCAGCTCGAGTAATACGTTATTTTTTTCAAGAATAAATTTATTTAAGATAACATAGCAATCAACCACGAGCCTAATATAGACTCTAATATTCGAACCTTTAACCTCAAAGTAAAAAGTTTGGCTAATTAAATCTAAAGGCATTAATTACATTGCCGTTGATCCGTAAATCAAAAGTTTTTCCACTGGAATTCCAAAGAGAGGGAGGGAGCGAGGGAGGGAAGTGGGGGGATTTTCAAAATAGTACAAACTCGACATGAAATTAATACACGAAGAATGCAATATAGAATTAAAAAATAGACTTAAAAATTAAACTTAATTAGTTCTTGATAGAGATTGAAAAATAATAAAAAATATTAGCTAGCTAATAAATAGGTCGAATTAATTTCAAACACAAATTACTCAATTTTGCAATAAAAAATCCATTTAACTTGTTTTTTTTTTTTTTTTTTGAAGAGCCCATTTAACTAGTATAAAAAAATGAGCAGATATTTAGTTTATACAAGACTTATGGGTGATTAGGGGGAGTCTAATTTTGGATTCATGCCACTGAAGGATGATGTTAGGTAAAATATGTTTAAGATATATAGGTATCATCTTGTGTGTGTTCAGTCAACTTGAACGTTTATGAACATGATTAACAAACAGATCCGATAATCAACTCGTCTCACAAGATTAATAAACAAGTTGGGTTAGAATGGAACACACATTCAAAATGATACACTTCGAACCAACACAACACAATTCGATTGACATCCTAAGAATCGATACCAGTGAAGTTCAATGCAAATTACCTAAGAATTTTGGGTGCTTTGTAGTTGGAAAGATAAAGGAGTCCATTAATTGGGCTCTGTTTCAACCCATATCATACAAACCAAGATCACAAAAAATGGAGACTGTTCGGTTGCCAAACAAGGTTAACAAAAATCGTTGTAAAAGTATTGTTTAGAACCACCATTCTTTTTCATTAGCTTTCACTCAAACAAGAAGCAAAATAACTACGAAAGTTTTTCCACTTCTCATGATTAATTCCAGAGCACAAAGAGCAGACCAAGTCTAATCCTAAAAACAGACACAGACCAGATAAACCTAAGATAACATAATTTAAAAGGATGTATCCAATACATGATACTCTTGTCATTATTTTGGGTCTGTAGAGGATTAGATGTATACATCATTATCTCTACAAACAGAAAGACTGTTTTTATGATTCGAACCCGTGACTTCCAAACTACAATGGAACAACCTTACCGTTGCAGCTATGCTAAGATCCGCCCTCTAAGATCATAATCTAAAAGAGCTTGAATCTCAAGATGTGCATCAAGTGCTCAGAACATCTTAAAGATTTGTGCTCAACAACATTTAAAAAAAACACTTACCAGATATAGATTAAGAAACTGTGTCTGATGGTCTAATTAAACTGGCACTGTCCTAATATCATGACCAGCCTGTGGCCTCATCTCCATTGCTGATCCATTTTCCTCCTCATTCTCTTGTGACATTTCCTCCAGTGATTTCCCATTCGATTCCGGGACCAAGAAAGTGAACACCATTCCAAAAAAGTTGATGCATCCCAGAACAATGAGTGAATTCCTCATACCAATACCCGGCGGGTAGCCAGCGTCAGTCTTGGTCCGGTCTGTGTTTTGAGAAGCGTACAAAAACCCAAACGCCCCAACTATGGCCCCGGCCTTGCCTGATGCTGCTGATATACCGTGGCACGTTGAACGTAGCCTAGCCGGGAAAATCTCAGCTGGAACAATAAATGTTGTTGCGTTAGGTCCGAAATTAGCAAAGAAAAAGGTCAGTGAGTACATGACAACAAACCCAATTCTGTTGTCCTTATGAGTCCAGTGATTGTAAGGAATAGCCAGGGCAAACATAAACACTGTCATGAAGAAGAAACCCATCAATTGAATTGCAAACCTCCCGATTTTATCGATGAGCGCCACAGTAAACCAGTATCCAGGAATAGTACTGCAGAGGGCAATCAGAGTTTGAGCCCTGGCAATTTTGTAAACTTCTTCGATCGCGTTCATCGATTTGGCTGGAGGAATCCACCCAATTGCACTGAAAATGTCCTTTTGGAACAGGTTCTGGCTATAGAAAGCGATGTCCAATAAGAACCATGTACTAGTGGTTCNCGCGTTCATCGATTTGGCTGGAGGAATCCACCCAATTGCACTGAAAATGTCCTTTTGGAACAGGTTCTGGCTATAGAAAGCGATGTCCAATAAGAACCATGTACTAGTGGTTCCAAGCAAATGAAGCCCATGGCGTCGAAGAAACTCCCTGGAAAACAATCCAAAACTATTTCCTTGAACTTTCTCAACTTTTTCCTGTTCTGCTTCCAGTTCAACTTGCAATACTTTTGACATATCGGCGGCGGCCTGTTTTGCATTTTTCGCGACTAAGGCCGTGTAACGTGCTGTTTCGGGCATCTTCATCCGCCAGTAGTAAGTCAGGGCGGCGGGGATTGCCCCGAACATCACAATTATGCGCCAGACATAATCTGCTTGAGGAACAGTAGATCCAAGAGCATCAACTTCATAAGCCGGGGCAGGAAATGCGACCTTAAAAGATGCAGAAACTATAATCGCCACCAATCCACCTGCCAAAATTCCAAAACCTTGCATTGCAAACACGGCCGCGATGAATGCTCCACGGGTTTTTTTGTTAGCATATTCAGACATGATCGTGGCTGAAAGCGGGTAGTCGCCGCCTATGCCAAATCCNCAAAACCTTGCATTGCAAACACGGCCGCGATGAATGCTCCACGGGTTTTTTTGTTAGCATATTCAGACATGATCGTGGCTGAAAGCGGGTAGTCGCCGCCTATGCCAAATCCGAGCCAGAATCGAAAGAAGCAAAGTGTGGCCATAACAGCCTTTGGGTCATGGCCAAATGAGAGGCCAGAGGCAATTGAGCAAATAACCATGATCATAAGGGTCATGCCATAGACTTTTTTTCGACCCAATTTGTCCCCAAGCCACCCGAAAAAGAGCTGACCCGCAAGAGTGCCACAAAACGCGACACCATTAGCGGCTGCCGCGACATTTGGAGGCAAACTGCCAGGCTTAGATGCACCGGGCTCGTGGTAGTAAATGCGGCCGAGCAATTTGGTTACGAGAGATATACAGAAGAGATCATAGGCATCAGTAAAGAAGCCCATGCCAGCAATTATGATTGCAGTGAAGTGGTACCATTGTGTTTTGGCTACATCAAGTGCATTAAGCACTTGCAATTGATCTTTGGCCATGACACACAACCTCTTCTGAAAACCTTTTCCGATGTAGTACTGCTTGTAGTTGCTATGTCCTGAAAACAATAGAACGGGGGAGAATTATAAATATTCTTATGCTACTAGGGGCGGTGTTAATTTAATGTATTGCCATGAAAACGATGAATCCAATAGGACAAAACCCGCAAATGACACAATTAGTTAAAACAAATAATACATAATTCGAATTAAATGACCATTTTATTAGGCTTTATTTGTCTAGAATCCTACATACTGTATTAAAATAAAATATTTTGCCATAAATAATTAAATTAATATGAGCACAACTCGAAAATGACATTTTTTTATATGATATATAGACTTGGACAACTATTCCATGAGTAGAAGTTGGGTTAACTCCAATGGATAGTTTAAGTGCGGATAGTTTAAGTGGTAACAGAGATAAACTATAAATTTAGACGTCCTAAGTTCAAATATTAGCAACCTTTTGCAAGGAATTTATCTCTTGTGAATACCCTTGCTCGGATATAGATGACTTGCCGTTGACTAGACCGGATTAGTCAAAGTAAGCTCGTCTGAACACTCTTGACCGTTAAAACAAAAAAAAATAAAATAAAATGAATAGGAGCTAGCTATTTTAGCCCAATTGATCAATAATTGTGTAGTTAGAGTATCTCTGATAGTATTCATTACTTTAAAAAATATTTTTTTTAGAATAAAGAACTAGTGCAAAAATAACTTCAAAGTTAAGAGTATTTAACAAAGAAGATATACGTGTCATGTTTTCATTTATTAAAAATAAATAGAGAGTTTTCACACAGTTTTTGCACATCCAATGCATTTACATGCACGAGTGTGACGCATATTTTTTTTTTTAATATATGAGTTGATTTATTGTAATTAAAAAGTTAAAATATAAACTAAATTATTATGGTTAAAAAATTTAAATGTAAATTTAAATGAATTACTATGATTAAAAAATTAAAAATAAAAATTTTAAATAAATTAATATACTTAAAAAATATTAAATTTAGATGATTTCAACCATTATTTTACTAAGTTAAAGGTACAGTAATTTATTATATAGAATTTTCAAAGTCGGAGACCAAACTTTGAACTTCATGACTTGACGTATGGCAACTTAAAGCAACGTGTGGAAAGAATCAAGTGTAGCATTACTGAAGAATTAAAGAGAGTAGCAGTTTAATACTCAAAAGTCAACAATCCATAAACAAAAACAATTAATTGTCATCAATGACAATTAATTAGTCAAAAGCTGTTCGTCAAATAATAAAAAAATAAATAAATAAAATCATAGAAATTCTCAAATCAACATCCCTTCTAATACACTTTAAAATTTTTTTTTAAAAATAATTAATCCTTCAAGAAAATAATTAAAAATATATCTATATAATAAAACAGGAGTGTGTTTGAATTTTGTCCCAGTCATATTTTTCCCCTCAAAACCATCATCAATCACTTACCTCACCCATCATTATTTTGTCCTATTCAAACGTCAAATCACATTACTTATTTATATCATATGTTTAATCATTTATATATTTTTTTACTAAAAATATTACACCACTCATTTTTATCATATATTTAATTATTTAATATTTAATTAATTTATAATTAATATATTTTGAAAAAATTAATATAATAGAATCTATTTTTTGGACACTCAAATTTTATATTTTATTATGTCTTTAGGCACGGGTTATGACTAATATATATATACATTGGAGTGAAAAATTTTCATAATCAAACTTTAAACGTGGGATAGTTGAAATTTGGAGATATGTATGAACAGGAAAGACTCTCATACAATCATCTTCATGAACTTTTTGGCCATTTTCAGCCCCTATGTTTATCATGGTTCAAACTTCAAAGTATATCAACTCAGAGGGCACCGATATATATTAGTTATACTATCCATTTTTAAATAAAAGATCCCAATTTTTTTTTTAAATATTGTTGTTTATGAATGATTATACCAAAAAAAAAAAAGTACTAGATTGAAAAAATGACCCCAAATGGTAAATTTTGATTTGGGTTATTCGTATTTATTGATAATTGAATGTCATCGTGTGAATGGTTAAAAAGTACAATAGGAAAAAATAATTTTTTTATACCAATTTTAACCCCTGTTTAAGGGTGTAAGTTTTGCATAAAACTCTGTTTTTCTTTCTGCTCTGCTACGAAGCTATTGAGAGTGTTTTTTTTTTTTTTTGAATAATACCGTGGACACCCACCTTTATGTATTACTTCTTTTAAGCCACTGAGGTAATACAATCCAAATCATTGAATATTTAATAAATTTTGTAAAACCCACTTATCTGGCTGCCTATGTTGAAATAATGTATAAAGATGGTATGTGTAGTATTATTATTATTTTTTTTGGCCAAAAAGGTGTCTTTTTAATCAGAAAAATGGAATAAAATATTAGAAATTAATCAGAGAAGCAGAGAGACTGTTCAACCAAAAAAACAAAACCATGTGAACTACATGACCGTGGTAGGCAATTTAGTACAGAAAGGGAAACCTAATCAGCCAGCCTCTGAATACTCTCATCATTCAAAAAGTGACTCGCATTTACTTATCTAATCAATCGCTGTTATTTACCAATTTTCTCTCTCTCTCTCTCTCTCTCTGCATTTCCTTCTAAATGCTAGCTGGCCTACCAGTCCAGTACTACAATGGCCTTCCACACTCCAGAACACACATATATAAGGTGTCAAACGTGTTCAGGTAGCACAGTCCTGTTTAACACTTATAAACTGTTTTCGTATAAGTTTATTATCATTAAATACATCATCCATCTTAAATTTTAAATATTTTTTTTTATAAATAATATATTACACCTCATCAATAAAATAAATTAAAATACATTCAAATTACAACCCAAAAATTAAAGCAAAAATTATCCTAGTATATTATTATAATATTATTAAGAATTATATTGTCGATTATCATAGTAAAAGAACTAATAAGTAATAATGTTAAGATCACGTCACATACATAATAGATAAACTATATTGTCATAAATAGATCTACAATGAATTAAGTCGGATTCGTTCCAAATCATGTCAACCCATTTACGCAAAGAAGATGAAATAGAAACATTTATTCCCAAATATAGAAACAGCAAAAAAAAATAAAAAATAAAAAGAAACCATCTCACCTTAGCAGTTTCGCAGAGCTTTCTTTTCCCAAAGAGTTTCAGAGCGTTGCAACAAGAAGTGTCACAAGAAATAGTGTGTGGAGTCACTGATGTGTGTGTGTGTGAGAGAGAGAGAGAGAGAGAGGAGAAGAAGAAGAAATGTTACGTACAAAAACGAAAGAAACAACCACCAAAAACGTCAATCGCGTTGTATATTATATACCCAGTATCTTTAGATAATCAGAATCTTGAGATATAGACAGAGAGACCTATGGGGGAAGGAGAGAGGGAGAGAGAGAGTCTTCTGGGGAAGG